GGTGAGGAAGAATGTCCCTGAGCTAACATCTGTGCCAGTCTTCCTCTATTTTGTATATGGGACATCACCACAGCATGGCTTGATGAGCAGTGTGTAGGTCCGCGCCAGGGATCTGAACCTGTGAACCCTGGGCTATGGAAGCCAGGTGCGTGAACTTAACCACTATGCCACAGGGCCAGACCCCAAAGAAGAATTCTTTTTAAAACTGAGAGAGTAACCAGGCAACATAAGTTACCATGGCAGCCCTGAGAAAAAAGACTATCAGATTAGGCTTACATTTTTTTCCATAATAAGTAAACTTTTCTTATTTCTAAAGCATGATACTATAAAACATCTATCTCACTAACAACTAGAGGTTGCTTAACGTCTGCTGCGAGCAGGAGGAAAAGAAAGGTGCCTTAAGCAGGATCTGATGAACTGACAAGAAGAAATTAGGGGCTATGGGCAGGAACAGGCTCCTGTTCCTACAACATTGTGAGGTAATCATATCCTAAGGCTTGAGTATGAGAAAGCAGCCACTAACCAGCTACCCTGCCCCAAATATTTGGACATAACCCAAATGCAAATACAAGCCTATGTATTGTTCTTTTCTGATAATTCCTTCAATGTATTCATTCTGGCTTGGTGCAAAGAAATTCTTTGTTTTAGATCTGAAAAAATAGTGGCACATGTAAATGGATGAAACCCGTCGAATCAGACTTCCAAGGAGCTATTGAGTTAAGGAACAAGAAGTCCAGAGTTCTTAGAAAGAATCATCAAAGTAGTACAGAATCACAGAGTCTCAGAGCATCTTTTATATCAACTCTCCTCTATCACATCACCAATCAGTGGTCATCCCGCCAGTATATGAACTTTTCAGTGACAGAAAACGCAGCACTCTCAAGACAGATCTGGGCAATTCTAGTTGCTACAGCAGTTCTTTATATCAAATTCAGAATCTGACTCCCTGTCACCCATCGGTCCCAGTTCTGCCTTCCGGAAGTGTACACTCCACAGCACACCTCATCTCTTTTCCATCTGGCACATTCCCCAAATACATGAGGACAGTTTAGTTCTCCCTAAAGTTCTCTTTTCCAGCATCACCCTCTTGAATCACTTCTTCCTGTGTTTATGACTTTCAGGGACCCCGCAGGTTCCTGATCCCAAGGGCATGACAAGCAATGGCATCAGTGTGCCTGCTACAGATTGTGGCGATGGGGCAGGGCCAGTGCAAGAGTTTGGCAAATGTGCCCACCTGAAGAGAGAGTCTATGTGGTAACCTCAGCCTCTCTTCAGTCCTCATCCACTAACCAGTGTTTCTCAACAGCACACTACTGACATTTTGGGCCAGATAATTCTTTTTTTGTGGAGGGCTGTCCTGTGCATCGTATGATGTTTAGCAGCATCCCTGGCCTCTACCCACTAGATGCCAGTAGCACCTCCCCAGATGTTGACAACTAAAATGTCTCCAGCCATTGTCAAATGTCCAGTGAGGAACGGTGGGGGCAAAATCACCCTCACTTGAGACACTGCTCTATCCAATGACTCTGTTCACCCATCACTACTCAAAACTCTCTCCTCTGCTGATTTAACAGAGAACTGTCCAGAAAGTCTATTTGTGTATCAAAATGGTATTTGAAATTTTTAAAGTATTTATCTTTTTAATGGTATTTGATGAAACTAAAACACTTTCTCCAGATGTTAAGAACCTCCCAGGTGGTTAATCCACATTTACCTTATCTCCCACTCGAGGCACTGGGGACTAAAGAAAAGACCTGACACCCATTTTCTATATGTATTCAAGAAGCACGACTAGTGTAGGGTGTTTTTTTTTTTTTTTTACAACCTGAACATTTGAATTCAAGTACAATACTCTGCCTGACCAGGGCTACATGAGACAAGACACATACCTGATCGCTCCGTAGGGCAGAGGGACCCACCTCACTACTCACCAAGCAATTCCCAAGTATCTGACTGGGAAGCCAGCGAAGGTGAGCGGGCTGCAAGAGTGGTGGGTTCAGGATGAGAAGTTGGGAGAGGTGACAAGGGAATGGAGAGTGAACCTTGGCTGAAAAGGAAGGAAAAAAGGGTGAAGACGAGGTGACTCCGCTTGAAATAAAGCGTGAGGATCTTACTCATTCCCAGAGAGAAGGCCACGAGCTTGCCCTCTGCGCTCTCAGCTCTCCGGGAGGGGGGCGTTTGAGTCCAGATCTAACACATCTAGCTCCTGTCTCGGCCCCCAGGCCTGATCGACCATTCATTCAGATTCTCAATAAACACTTATTACCAGACCTTGCGCGGGGACCACATCGGGGAAAACATCACCGCACCCTCACGGTTTACATGGGGAGACCGGCCATCACCTGGGCGGTGAGGGCGACCAAGCAGAATCCCAGGGATCCGACACCCAATCGCCAGAAACCCTCCGCCCTCCTGGTCCATAAAGCCAGGGCACCCTGGCCGCGTAACGCTGGACCCGGGTCCTGCCTCCATCGCGCGCCCTTCCTCAAGGCTCGCCAGGTCTGGACGTCGCCATCCCCTGTTCGGACCTCGCCGCTGATGAACTCTACAAATCCTCCCTCCTCACGGTTCGCCGACTCCGCAGGCTGTACTGAACCCCGCCAGCCACCGTCCGCGAGGCCTTGGCGCGCCCGTGACGTCACTGCCGTGCGCCGCTCCTGCACCAAAGGCAATATGGCTGTAGCGGGGCCGCCGCGGTTGTTGTCCCTCGCGGCTCGGTTCCTTCTGGCGCCTCGACGGGACCTGGCGGCCCGCGGTCCCGACGAGCCCCTGCCCGTGGTGCGCATCCCGCGGGCTCTGCTGCGGCGGCAGGAGCAGCGGCAGAGCCCCCCTCGACCGGTGCTGGTGCGGCCTGGCCCGCTGCTGATCTCGGCGCGGCGGCCGGAGTTGAACCAGCCGGCGCGCCTCACGCTGGGCCGTTGGGAGCGCGCGCCACTCGCTTCGCGTGGCTGGAAGAATCGGCGCGCCCGCCAGGACCACTTCTCCATCGAGCGCGCGCAACAGGAGGCGCCGGCGCTGCGGAACCTGTCATCTGAGGACAGCTTCGCCCATCTGGGGCTGGAGCCCCGCGTGCTGCGCGCACTGCAGGAGGCTGCTCCCGAAGTCGTTCGGCCTACAACCGTGCAGTCGAGCACCATCCCCTCACTACTCCGCGGCCGCCACATCCTTTGCGCTGCGGAAACCGGCAGTGGTAAGACTCTCAGCTACCTGCTACCTCTGCTTCAACTGCTCTTGGGCCGGCCACGCCTGGACTCGCACCGTATCCCTGCTCCCCGAGGCCTGGTCCTTGTGCCTTCGCGAGAATTAGCCGAACAGGTCCAGGCCGTGGCCCAGCCTTTGGGCAGCTCCCTGGACCTCCAGGTGCGGGAGCTAGGGGGAGGCCATGGCATGAGTAGGATCAAGCTGCAACTGTCCAAACAGCCTCCAGCGGATGTGCTGGTGGCCACTCCGGGGGCTCTGTGGAAGGCCCTGAAAAGACAACTGATCAGCCTGGAGCAGCTCTCCTTCTTGGTGTTGGATGAGGCAGACACACTGCTGGATGAAAGCTTCCTGGAACTCGTGGACTGCATCTTGGAGAAGAGCCATATAGCAGAAGGCCCAGCTGACTTAAAAGACCCCTTCAATCCCAAAGCTCAGTTAGTGCTGGTGGGGGCCACGTTTCCCGAAGGTGTAAGCCAGCTGCTGAGTAAAGTTGCCAGCCCAGACTCTCTAACCACTGTCACCAGCTCCAAGCTCCACTGTATCATGCCTCATGTCAGGCAGACATTTATGAGGCTGAAGGGAGCAGAGAAGGTGACTGAGTTGGTGCAGATCCTCAAGCAGCATGACAGAGCATATAGGACTGGCCCCTCAGGAACTGTTCTGGTGTTCTGTAATAGCTCCAGCACTGTGAACTGGCTAGGATATATTCTAGATGACCACAAAATCCAACACTTAAGGCTGCAGGGACAAATGCCAGCCTCAATGAGGGCAGGTATCTTCCAGCGCTTCCAGAAGGGCTCCCGAGACGTACTTCTCTGCACAGACATAGCTTCCCGGGGCTTGGACAGCACCCATGTGGAGCTGGTTGTCAATTATGATTTCCCCCTCACCCTGCAAGACTATATCCACAGAGCAGGGAGAGTGGGCCGTGTGGGCAGCGAGGTGCCAGGCACAGTCATCAGCTTTGTGACCCATCCCTGGGATGTGAGTCTGGTTCAGAAGATTGAGCTGGCAGCTCGCCGGAGGAGAAGCCTTCCAGGACTAGGGTCCTCAGTGAGAGAGCCTTTGCCCCAGCAAACCTGACTGCAGCTGGCTTAAATGTGATGCCATAACAGGGATCTTTCCCTGTGTCCTGGGTGAGTGAGCACACTTGTCAGTAGGATGTGCTAGGCTGCCCAGTCACCTCCCTGAAGGCCTGGTGAGCTGCTGGCCAGCATTGGAGGGTGAGCTACTGAGCATGGCTCCCTCTAGTCTTTCACATGAATGGTGAAAAATAAAATTGATTTTGGCTTTGTATTATGTCATGATTCCTAACAATAAATGATGTTTTTATGGATCTCCCCTAATAATAGTTACCAGTGGGGCAGAATTCATTGGATTCTGAGAAGATTCACACTCCAAACTACCGCACCTAGGACAAAGGCTCTTTCAATTGATGGTTTGGTCTGTAAACATGTAGATTTTATTTCCTGCCATTAAGCCCCCAGGAAAAGGGAAAGGTGATTAACCAGCAGTAGAGAGAAATTTTCTTCACCAACGATGCCCATGGCATGCTTGGGCACTCTTGGTGAAATCGCTCTGAGAAGTATGGGCAGAAGAGTAAAAGGCTGACTGACACAGAACTATTGCTTGGTGTGCATTTCCAGGCTCTGCCTCCTTTTCTGTCCCTTGGTGGCAGAGGAAGAGGAGAGAGGATTGAACTGTTTTACAAAACTGGCAAAATAAGGGTATAGCATCCTCTCACTATCTCCTAGGTTCCAGTCTCTGCAGCATTATATAAGCTTTGTCTAAAGTAATGAACAGTGGAGGGCCGGCCCCGTGGCTTAGCGGTTGAGTGCGTGCTCTCCGCTGCCGGCGGCCCGGGTTCGGATCCCGGGTGTGCACCGAGGCACCGCTCCTCCGGCCATGCTGGGGCCGCATCCCACATACAGCAACTAGAAGGATGTGCAGCTATGACAGACAACTATGTACTGGGGCTTTGGGGGAAAAATAAATAAATAAAATCTTTAAAGTAATGAACAGTGGAGAGTCAAAATATAATACTCCACAAAACAACTTAAAAAGACTTGCACACTGGGCCAGCCCTGGTGGCCTAGTGGTTAAGTTCAGTACGCTCCGCTTTGGCAGCCCGGGTTCGGTTCCAGGGCACGGACCTACACTACTCATCTATCAGTGGCCATGCTGTGACGATAGCTCACATACAAAATAGAAGATTGGCAACAGATGTTAGCTCAGGGTGAATCTTCCTCACCAAAAAAAAAAAACAAAAAAAAAAAACTTGCACACTGCAAATGATAAGCTTACAGAGAATAGAAATGGGCCCAGGGTACCCTTTGTCAAAAGAGAATATTGTGCTAAATGTACAATCATAGCTCTGTTTTCCATGTAAAGAAACTGAAGCTCAGAGGGATAAAAGAACTTGCTCAAAATCACACAAGTAAATACGACAGAATCTGGTCTTGCCTGCACCAAGGGTTGTGTTCTTAACCACCAGGCTAGCTTTTCTCAAATGTGATTCATGCACAGAGTACCTACACATCTGTTTCCCTTGAGTATGCCTTGTTTACATCTATGCCTGGTGCAGTTTTTGATACTGGCCACTTTGACTCTCAGAAATGACCCAATGTAGACAATAATTGGGTCACTTGATCCCTGGACCACTCTGGAGGAACTGCCTGGGAAGCTTGTTAAAAGTGCAAATTCCTGAGCCCCACTCCAGATCTGGATAAGTTTTCTGAGGGTTGGCCCAAGAATCCATGTACAAGTATTTTTAAGTTGTTTTGTGTACTCCCCAGGTGAGTCTCAAGACCTCTTAAGTTTATAAACCATTTGTGTCTGCTATTCTGCCTTACCCAGAGACCCAGCCAGGGCCTGATAAGGTTGCGGCACCCCCATCAGATGAGAGGGATGCTCCAGACAATTCATCTCTCTGGAACCTTGGAGAATCTGAGTGGTCTTATGCTGGCCCACCTGCCAGGATGAACCTCCTCCAGAGCCCTCCCCAAAAGTGGTCTGCTCTAATTAGGCCTGACTTCGTCTGTCCTATCCTGCTCCACACTGATCAGACAACTTAGGAGTAGAAAGAAGGTGCTGTGGTTCTCAACCAGGGCTGGCCAACCTCTAAAATAGTAGCCCAGGCAGTCTCTACCTCCTGGGCACATCCCCTCTGCAGCAGCCCTGTAAACAAATGTCCCGTCTTTGCTGTTTCCAGGTCAGCCACAGGGAGCGCCCTCCTAGGGAAGGTCATCTCTCATGGCTAGGAAGTTCTTGGCCATGCTGTATCAAAGGCTGCCCCTAATATGGCTCCTTCCTGTGGGCCTGAGCAGGCTGAGAGCAGGGTTGTCTATTTCCTCCTCGGAGTAGGACCAAATTGTCTTTGAGGAACACCTCTTCACAGTGTGGACCGTGTTGTTCACCCAGCTGCTGCTGAGCCCACACCTCTTCCTTTCATGGTGACGGGATGGTAGTTATTTGCCGTGTTGGGGGAGAGAGAGGAGTGTAATGGTTAGGTTGTGGTTTTGTATTATGTCATTTTGTCATGAGTTTGTTTTGAATTTCATATTAAAATGGGCCCATCAGTCCCACTCTGTGGAGTCATTCAAGACCCTCATTTTGCCTGAGACCGCCTTTAACATGGCTGCCAGTATCACTGGGATGTGATGAGCTTGTCCTCTTACTCCTGGTGGCTGTAAATCCGGAGCCCCGACGTGCAG